ATATATATATACATATATATATATATATATACATATACATATACATACATATATACATATACATACATATATACATTCAAACAAATAACTTCATATATGTTATTTATGGCATGAAATAGCATGTTGGGTTCCCAGTTACAGGAAGCTGTTAACGAAACTGGATTGTCCTTTTAAATAATATTTAATGACTCTGACATTTACAAAGCAGTAAAGTTTGAATCTATTGTCCCCAGTCATGGTTACATTGGATTGTCTGTGTTTATTTCAAAGCTTGTTACCTACAGCATCCATCAGTGTAATGAAGTGAGAAATCCCCTGAGTGTTGTGCTTCCACACACACATTCCTTCTTACAAAGATGCTGATTGGATTGGTTCTTCAACCAAGAAATCATTTTCTCACAAGAGCCACACCACATCGTTAAAATGTCTCAAGATGGGTTTTTTTTTCCCTGCGGTTAGTTTGAGTTGGTCGCTTGTAGTTTTATCTACTCAAAATCCCAACAATAATCCAAGTCAGTATTTTTTTAAATGTTGTTAGGAACATTTTCTTTTCAAGGTAGTTGACAGTCCTGTATTATCTTACCTCGATTATCTCACCATTAATTGTTTGTAATAACCTTCAAGCCCTCAAAATGCATTTGTAAGTCATTTCTTTCTCTGACGTACTGAACGGGAGGGAATGTTTCAAAATCTCTCCCATTCTGGATACACCTTGTCTACTGTCTTGTGTTTGTCAGCTAATTCTAATCATTTGTTTGTGAATGTGAATGAACTGTCTTTGTTTACTGTTAACATTTTAAACTTTATTTGTTTTGACTTAAAGTTAAATTAGTGCCCCATTGCCTTACTAACTATTTCTTTATTATACAGACACTTCTAATTTAGCACTTCCTTTAAATCTTTTAAGATTTAATTAGGGCACATGGTTTTCTATTGCTGTAAAACCAATTAAGTGATGAACTGAACTGTTTTTAATAGTTGATCTTTTAGCACTCTGTGACTGTTAATTTCTTTTTTACATTAACATTTTATATTTACAATTTTAGATCTGTGAGATTGTTTAGCCGTTCGATTTATTGAAATCTGTGGTCTTTTTGCCCTTGCTTGTGGCTTGGGTGTTATTCCTAGGGCCAGGTCCTCTCTCATGCCATAAATGGAAGCACCAGCCATCCACAGAGGCCCATGTCTCCCCCATCATATCCATCACCCCCTGCCTCACTTCATACTGGGCTACAGAGACAGAGCAGGAGTTCAGGTGAGCCTCTGCTCTTTTGTCATTTTGTTTCTATTATATACAGGACTTGGTTTATTACCAGTTGATGATGCTGGAACAATCATTGCACTTTATATTAAATATAATTTAAAGAGAGCACATTTCTCCAGTTCTGGCCTCCCTTAATTGGTTCTCAGTTCACTTCCAAATTCATTTTAAAATCCTTTTGTATGTTTTTAAATCTCTGAACAGTTCTGCCCCCTCCTATCTCACTGATCTGCTGCAGCCATATGTCCCACAGCACTCGCTGAGGTCAGCAGACCAGATGCTTCTATTGGTTCCAGGAACTTGTCTTAAGCTCAGAGATGACAGGGCTTTTTCTGTTGCAGGTCCCAAACTGTGGAATGAGTTGCCACTACATGTCAGACAGGCGCCCTCTCTCTCTGTTTTTAAGTCTCGTTTAAAAACACTTTATTCTCTGACTTTTTATACAATATGAGTTGATTTTAACTTCACTGTGATTTTATTATTTTAGCCATTTATATTCTTCTCTTTACCTCTGTGGATCTGTGGTTTTTATCCTGTGTTCTTTGCTTGTTTGTCTGACTGTACAGCACTTGGGTTGGCCTTGTTGCTGTTTTTAAGTGCTTTATAAATAAAGTGGTTTGGTATGATGGTATAATTCACATAAATGCCTACGAAATTCTGACTTTATAACTATTCCTAACACAACTACATGTAGAGTTGCAAATGGTACAATTACACACATTTTACCAAACAAGTACAGCCTTGAGGTTCAAGGTTCTTTATTTGTCATTCCACCCTATGTGGTACATGTGGTGGAACGACATTATGCACACAGGGTCCCAGTTACATCCAACAATAAAATGTAAAAGAAAAACAGTAATAACATCTAAGATATGAACTAAGAAAAACATCAACTAAATATACACTAAGCACTAGTAGCATAAAAACATTACGTCGAACAGCAGCACGAACATACAGTTACTTAACAGTTCACTGTCGGACTGGATTTGAAAATACTGGAAACTTTCGGAAAATAAAAACTCTGAAGCGCCTCTCCGTATCTTTTTGTGATAAACATTCAAATCAAAGGTCATTAACACAATTTTGCAATAAATAAATGTATATATTTATTTATTTATTGCAAAATTGTGTTAATGACCTTTGATTTGAAAGTTTATCACAAAAAGATACGGAGAGGCGCTTCAGAGTTTTATTTTCTGAAAATGTCCTTAGTTTTAACTTTTCTTTTGAATCATGGCATGTAAACTCTAAATATGCATAACATATTGCTAGAAGAGGTAATGACATCATTTCTGAAAATATTGAACTTAAGAGTTTTGTGTCGAGATTAATTCCTGATGGAAACACCAAAAGCAGTATAATAAGACAGGGTTTGTCTAACTTTCACTTGAGGGTCGCAACATTCAGTACAAACACGGAGCATTCAGTTTAACTGTTAACTAATCTGCAGTCTAGGACAGACACAAGCGCAAGCAACCTCACAGAAAAGTCAATCATAGTAAACCAAGATCAGCAAGAAGAATAAGTATTATACATCAATCCTGGACTTAAACTCTGTTTTTTGCTCACATCCTACTGAACTAAACAGCCAGTGAGTCCAAGAAGGCTTTGCAGCAGGTTTATTGCTACAGTGTTTCAGTGTCCGAGCCCACTTTACCCGCTCCTGCTGTGAGCAAGCAAACCGGCTACTTTATTAGATTGTGTTTGAATTATTAGTTTAATTATTTGTTGGCCAAATAGAATAAGATGAAAGACCTGGTTTATTCAGTTGAAAACCACCGCCTTTTTACAGTCAAGCTTTTGAAGTATTTTCTCATCACACCTACGTATACATGTATATCTGGGGCTGCAGAAGCTTGGTGGTCTTGTAATCCTAAGGCTGCGGGTTTGAGCACAGTTTGCATCAGGAAGAGCATCCGGCGTAAAACAATTGCCAAATCTTTCATGCGAGTTTGCTCGCTGTGGCAAACCCTGAAGAAAGAAGCAGCCAAAAGAAACTTACTTTACCTATATCCATAGTTAATGAGTAAATGGAACTTAGAAATTTTTTTTTTTTGTAAAATAAAAAAGAAGACTGGACCACCTGTCTCCGTCAAAAATGTCATCTTCGTAACAAAAATAAAACAAAACTAAAAAGAATCAAATAAAAAAAAATAAACTTGTTTTGTTTGTTTATTTGTTTTTAGAGGGCAGCGAGTCGTTCACCAGAGAGTCGGTGGTTTCAGGCCACACCAGCGGCAGGAGCACTGTGCCCATCGCTCGGTTCTCGGAGGAAGAAAAGAAAGTGTCTCTTATCAAAGCCCCGCATTATGAAGGCATCGGCCCTGTGGATGAATCAGGAATCCCTATTGCCATTCGCACGGTGAGGTGAAATGTACATTAAACTAATCATCTTCCCAACAGCTCTTTGTTTAGCATAGCCCGAATGTCTTTTGGTCCATTTTAGACCATCTTAATATATGATCATGTTTACGAGAGAAGGATTACTTTCAGCTGTCAGCAGCTTTTAACCCCACATTAAAAGCTTTTTCCCTCTCTACTGTCACTATTTTGGTATCTCATTTTTATCCACCGCTTTGTGCTGGGGATAAAGGTAAGCTTGCTTGTTTGCTCTCTGCTTGATAAAGTGTTACTGTGCCCTTGTCTCTGCTCTTTATGCAATAACACTTCACTAAACGGTCTGCTCCTTGAGCCGAAGCTTTTAAAGGTAGACGTGCTGAACTAGAGAAGTTTTTAAAAATAATCTTGTTGAAGCCAGAAGAAATAAAGACGAAAAGATGAGCAATAGAATTCAAGACAAGCACTGGAATGACAAAAAGATTGGGTGAAACACATGCGCTACTTGTTGTGAGCAGACAGACATTTTTGTGGCCACTCAGTTTGGTAACCGTGGAGAATGAAGTGGTAATTGGCCTGTCTGGTCTGTGCCAATGCTCCACACATTCACTGCTTGTTCTGATCGGAGTCCAGAGCCAGTGTTCAGCGCTACTGAATAAAGAGGGGATTAAGTCTCTCTGCCATTTCATAGCTCTTTTTTTTAAAAGTGGTTGTTGGGTCTATTCTGTTTACACAAAGGCGAGCATTTCTCCTGAAGTTTTCTGGTACAAAAATGTGATTTCATGCTTTAGTTTTGTGACAACACTGCTGCCATGTTTTCTTTCCATAGTGCAAAACCAACTCTATTCATACTGATTTGTGAAAGCATCACAATGCACACTTGTGTTCAAATTGCCTAATATAACATGTTATTGCCATTGTTTGTGATGCTGTGTTTTAGACACTTGATTACTAAAAGCTTGTGGAAATAAAGCTTTCTGTAGCAGAATCTATTTTCTTGACCTTATAGTTTGCACTTATTACTTTGTTTTAGGATTAATGGGAATAGAAAACTGTCAGTTTACAGCTGTACTTTTTTCTTACACATCCACAAGAGTTTCTGTGAATGACAGTCACAAAAGACTGAGGTCAAAATTAAGTCATGAAAGCACATTACAAGGCACAAATGATTTCTGGTCTTAGGCAAATACATATAGTATTTTAGGATGTAATTCTAATGAGCAGAGATCTATTTTAAAGGTTTTATTTAATGCAAGGGGGAAAAAACAAAAAGTTCCAATCACAACATTTGTCTGAGTATTTTGATGTTGTAAAAACTTTAAACACTTATTAAACTTTGAAGTTGAGTCGTTAAATCATTAAACATTTTTTCCAGAACAAGTACATCATTTCTCCCTATTAGGATAAACTAACATATCATTTCTCCATGTCCAAACATGGTTTGACTTTCTAGGTAAAGCATGAATTACTAAAAAGGTGGAGTGTTTCAACTTACCTCACTAATATCCTGTAAAACAGTGGAGGATTTTACACCTTCAGACTCAAACTTTGCAGTTACTTTAGCATTTTTCTGTACATAAATGTTACTGGTTATTTTCCTTTCCACAGACAGTGGACAGACCCAAAGACTGGTACAAAACGATGTTCAAACAGATTCACAAAGTCCACAAAGCAGGTACAGTATCACCAAACCTCTCTGCAAAACTGAAAAGTCTCAACACTCTGTGATTGGTTGATCGGACTGTTTGAGTGGAGCTGGCCATGTGTGCATGCAGTTTGTAAATATGTGTGTCTCTGAGCAACTGTGCATGTCAGTTCTTGTTAAAAGGACTCGCACGACCTCAGAGCCAGACCTCATTAGATGAGAGTGAGAGAGTCTTGAGCGGAGGAGTAATAGAAAAACCTCTAATGGACACAGAGCTGTCCAGGGAAATCAACTCTAATTTTGTGGGCTGGACAGAAATGCACAGTCAGCACAAGGCTTGCTTGTTCTAAACAGCTCAGGCGTTCTTTATGACAGTAAATACTAAACACACACTCAAATCGAGAGACTGCCTTATAATTATGCCTTAATATAAACTAAAGGCATGCAGTGGTCTTGATGCATTCCAAGATTGACTTTTGTATTCTACATTCTTTAAAAATGTATTCTCCTTAGGAACTACTTCAGTACTTTTCTTTTCAGTGAGATTTTTTAACCCTTCTTTTGCAGATGATGACTATTCTGACACGTACAGTGCAACGTATGCCTTCATAAACAGTGGTGAGACTTCCCCTGTTCTAGCAGAAATTAACAACAGACACTTCTTTCTAACCCATACGCCTCCTCCTTTCTGGCCCACTGTCTTTATCACTTCTCGCTCCGCTGTCTCTCCCGTTCTGTCTAACAGATGACCACAACCTGTCGTCCAGCGTCACCATGGCCCACCCGCCTCCTCGGACACACACATACAGGCCTTTGTCCAAAAGCCCATCAGACAATGGAGGGCAGCTGGGAACTAGAGAGCCTTTGCCATCTCCTGTGCCCCCACCACCTCCACCTATGCCATCCCTCCTTCAGCTCAGAGCCAGAGACGGCGACCGTGAGAAAGATTCTCAAGACATGTAAGAAAATTCCTCGAACTTAACACTACATTATTGTTGAACCACTGATTTTGAATCACGGCAAGGATTTAAAATGGTTTCACTCACCACAGCAGATGTTGACCAGTGGGATATGACTTCCTTCTGGTTAATTATTATCCCAGTCTTGAAGCTTTCATGCTGGAGCTTATGCAGCATGAACCAAACAAGTCAATAGCGCATGTGTAAAGCTAAAAACCAACATGGTTGAATATGTTGCTGTAGGGACTGGCACTGTTGACACTTCTCTGATATCATATTGATCCCACGTTTTCAGAAAACCCAGGCAGAGCAATACGCAGCCGCTATTTGCTCAGCAAAGTATAGTGACAGCATTGCTTCAAGCATATATATAACTATATATAACTATATATATATGTATATATAGTTATATATATATATATTGGAGAT